AGGCACGACTATGGAGATGAGAAACCGACTATAGAAATGATTATGCTGATGCTGATGAAAGTGACAGATAATCGCTTATGTGTTGATTATCGTGGCAGAATATCGATCCTTGTCTTCACAATCTCATTCTTCTAGGCTTTGCGACTACGAATATCCACGGAAACTGTGCCTTTCGGTCCACTGCCAAAGTACAATCGATACTGTGATGACGTTTTCATGGATCGACCAACCAAACATCTTCAAGTGTGCTCACTTACCGTAGTTTTTGAAGTTATCGATGCGTACGCCTCACGCATTGCAAGCTCCATTTCCTCCAAGGAGGTAGATAGTAAATGAATATAAGAGAATTCATTATCATGCGCTCATCTTCCGAAATTGTTTAATTCTCAGTTTTAGTGTTTTGACGGAAGATTTCGTATACAAACTCATATTGTTGTCCGGTATTCGAAAGCAATGATGCAAAAGATAACCAACTGATCATCTTTCCAACAAGTTTTCTTGCTTCGTTGACTATATGGGAGAAATCCTAATAGTGCATCAGACTGAGGCGGCTCAAACTTCCCTTCGCAATTCAAAATATGTTAATACATGAAAAGCACTAAATTTCAGAGAGTATGAAACGTTAAATCCATTATAAGCGGATGCACTCAGACGAGACAAGCTAATTTATTTCTACGAAGTAGAAACACGGCATATCAATCTGTCACAGTGTCTAAAAGGTAAAACAAAACAGGGATAATAACATATCGACATTAAAGCAAAACGCGGGGCTAAAAGTGTGAAGCTTGCATTTTTGTTTCCTCATCACCGTCCATGTGTACTGGTTCATCTATAGATGGAGCATTTCCAGAACTCTCTACTTCAGCTAAGGCAGTATATGTATAGACACACCCAAGACAAAAAACAATTTCTAGGACAGTGCGTCTTTTTCTAAGAAAATTCCTCATGCAAAAGTACCTTAGCTAAGTCAGCAGCATTAGCTGTTTGTCAAACCGCTGAGCACGTGTGGCACAGTGGTTAAAAGCGTATGCGACGCAAACGAGGCCGATTAATTGTTGAATACTGGTTCGATTTCACGCTCAAGACTCATCAAGTTTTCACCCATCCAGAGTCGACTAATTTATTTCAGGCGTAGGGGAAGATGGCAGCGCAGACTTGATACATCGGTGAGCCACCACGAGAGAATGGAAAAGATAAATATGCGTTCAGTCACCTCTAACAAGGCTGGATGAGTCGGATGCATGCAACATTTCACAGAAGCTGATCATCACTGGGAGCTTCATTCTTTATTAGCTTTATCAAGCCGATATTTCACATTTCCATAGATATGTAAACATGAAGGGAAAAAGTTCTCAACACTGACGGAAATTAAGAAACTGATTTTTACTTACGTAATACTTCTTTAGTCTACCCACGACCCCCACTAAGAGTATACGACCCCAATGTCAGAACAACTTTTTTTCTCCTTAGGCAAAAGCGATTTTAAAGCACCGCCCTGAATTGTTAAATATTAGATACATTGCATATCAATAATTGTCTTGAAAGTTTCCTGAACATGATAGAGACAAAAAATGCTCAGAAAATCATACCCTTCGAATCCAGCGTTTTCTTGAAGCACGTCCAAATTTCAACATATCAGTAATTGTTTTTCGAGCCAACATGTCATGTCACCTTTTATGGGCACTTGTAGAGTCCAATACACGCGTTTTGGCCTTGACAGCCTAATCAGTTGGGCAGCACTATTCGTTTTAGCCAACCTCTTGGGAGTGCCCCACCACTACATAGAGTAGGGGACGACGTAGAATTTATATGTGAAATGATTCTTTAAAGTGGGATTGTTGTACACTTGATTTCTCTTGGCTGGTATCAATGAAATATCATACCTCACCTTCCGAGTGTTTTCACAGGACAGCGCTCATTATTTTAAAATATCTGATAACAGTTTCTTTGAAACACGTCTATTGGGCTCTATAAGTGCCCATAAAAGAGCACATAACATGCTGAGTCAGATAGTAGCAGTAAAGAGAGATATTAGTAACGATATAAGCCATACTAAGGTCAAATCTTGCGACATATCATTACTCTGTTCGAACAAGTGGCGACAAATAACGTAGCGCATGTTGACTTCGAAAGGCTGATTTGACAAAACATTCCGCTTAAAAAGCATTTATTCTAGGTTCGGATCTAGCACCGATCTCGCAAAAATTTGTTGCAGCGTCGTTAACAGGTCTTACAGAAGAACCACCGAAAGTAATAGAGACAAACTCTCAGTGCATGTACCTGGTCACTCCCTTCACCTTTGAAAGAAACGAATACTGAAGGCAGAGGGTAGGAAATTGGAACAAGTACAGTAGTGGCACCATATGCAGTTGACAGTAAGAAACACCTACATCAGAGAAGAATGTATTAAGAATTAGAAAAAAGCTTCAAACTTTAAAAGCAATTGAAGTGAATCAATGAATGAAGAATAAAAGAATGAAAAATAGATCAAATATTTTGTGTTTTTTCGGTTTCACTGGCTTCTAGTAATGACGTGGAGTTGAAATATTCATCCAGAAAGGGTGAACGATACCCAAAAACTGCACTTTAGGCGGAAGTTGAACCCGCGTTTCTTCAATATCGGGGCGCCTGCTACCACGGTATCTCCAAGGTCATCGAGCGGTGACCACTCTCCCTCGACATGAGCTATTGAAAAAATTATGAATTATAGGATGTACATGTGGAAGAAGCTGTCAACTCAGCTGTATTTAATGCAGGATTGGGCTTAGTAGAGAAAATCCATTACAGATTGACTGCTGATAGCTTCGAAAGTTCTTGTCGAATAAAGACTGGTTGTAAATCAGTGACCTTATCGGTGCAGTAGTAGTAGCGCCCTTCTAAAAAAGTGAAACGCCTGTCTGTGTCCGCCTGTGGTGAAGTATTTTGCTACTATTCAATCTTCATAGATGAGTTTTATGAAATAAATAAGGTAATAAAAATAACTACTTTTAAATGGTAATGGCGACGTTAAAGGAAAGACTTGAGGAATTAGGAGTGCAAGGGAAAGACCAAATTTTGAAAGTTCAGTAGGACAGCCTTGGACCTCTGTCCCTTATAGACGTGACTAAAAATTCACGCGCTTCAAATTTACGGAAAGCGGCGCTGAAAATCAGTTTTTATAATATATCCGGTCGAACAATGAAACAAACTTGCCATACAAACTTCTCCTGCCACTAGGCACCCGCTCCCCTAGGCATCGGGAAGGTTTCTGGCTTGTTCTCCTACCACAACAATTCACATCAATTTTTGTTGGTGTTATCCTTTTGTTTTCACTACAAAATACTTGAGTCACTGACAGACCATATTACACCAAATCTCATATAGTGACACCGCGTAGCACAAGCGATCAGCGTATATAATTTATTTATCACCATTTTTATGTTATATGTAAATATATTATGCTGTCAGAAACTGCATATTTATGAAGCTTATTGTTATAAACGCAGATCGTTGAATAAATGGCGGCAAATAAATTATGTACAGTGATCGCTTGTGTTACGGCATTAATATATGAGGTATAGCTCAATTTGATGTGTTAAAAAATCGCAAAAAAACATTTTGCAGTGAAAACAAAAAGATAGCGCTAAAAAACCACAATGAAGCGCTATGGTAGGGAACAAGCCTGACAACTTTCTTCCCGATGGATGGACTACGAGTGCAGGGATGAGTGAGACAAACGGTAATTGTCAAGCTGGAGTTAGAGCGGCTTAGGGGAGTGAAAGTTTACCAAGCTGAGGAAAAACAACAGAGTCGCTCACGGCGAGGGTGAGAGTCTTTGCGAGCTAGACACTCCCAAATTGGACCCACGGAAGTCAAACGGTCAGTCGCTACCTATATTAAAAATGCCATACTATGGCATCTATGGCCTAATAGATCAAAAGTCCTTCGTTCGAAGCATTGCATCGTCATTGAACGATGTCTAAAAAATGATGGTCTAGGAAACTTTGCGCGATTTATAGTAAATGTTCCTACCACATTACGTTCTCAATTGGCTCTGACGTGCCCGCATGACCTCATATGTTAAACTGGAGATTAAGTGATTTGTTTTAATGGGAGAGTTTGAGCCTGTATGAATTCAGGTACAATGCATGTGGTCTCCTATAAGTGATCATGATTTTTAGTGCACAAAGGTCATAAGTTTATGACAGTGACTAGTTTAAGGCGTAAGCCAAAATCTCGGCGTGTGAGTCATAGATAAGGGCTCGAGAAACGCTTGAGGATTTTAAATCATTTTTCAGAAACCAGAAGTAGGCAGAAGGAAAGAGTGTCCAAACAAGTAATTCATGAGATACTTCTCTTCAGGATTATGCACCAGACATGTTTTGTTGGAGAAACCGTGGCCAAGCGGTTGTGATACTTGTAGCAGCTCGCGGGCTAAGTTCAGTCTCCCAACAGTCTCGAATAATCAACAAAGAAAACCTATGCCGTGTCACAGCAAGAGTATCCTGGAGATTCGAGAATGGAGTAACGGGTTAGAGCGCACGCCAGAATTGGGTGAAAGGCGGACTGAGTTGAGGCTGACACAAGAAGTTTTGAGCACCACTCAGCATAATTGGGACTATTACTTCAGCTGTAACTTAAGCTTAACTGTGTTCACCGCGGACTTTTGCTCCTAAAACACTCCCGCTAACCAATGATTGCTGATACAACGGATAGAATACAAATGAGAGGAAAGCAAAACGAAGGCCTTGATGGTGTGGTGCGGAACGCGTGATTGTCCGGAAAGTGTTATGGCGTTTCAAAGACACATCAAGTTCAAGTTCTAAGTTCTACGCTTATCTACATAAGTCTTTGGCTCTATTTCACATCATGCCTTCCTTGCCATAATAAAATATGTATTAGATAGAAGTTGGAAGTTTCAATATTCCTGCTGAAGTCATAATTCTTTTCATTTTGACTGCCACTTGCAGTGGTATAATCTTCTAGTATACCCAATATGTGGAGTACCGTGCAAAAACGTTGGCGTCAGCCGGGATTCGAACCCAGATCTCACTCTGTCCGGGAGCGTATGCCAGCCATTGCACTACCGACGCTCGTTTTGCACAGCACTCTTATTTACGCTATAACGCGTTGTCTGCCAACAGCCAATCGTCGACGGTCTGGCGTGGCAACCGCTATCGGCACTGAACCCACTTGAGTTGACAGAAATTGGATATTGATAATCAGGCATAATTCTTTCTATTTTGACTGCCACTTGCAGTGGTATGATCTAGTAGTATACCCAATATGTGGAGTACTGTGCAAAAACGTTTGCGTCAGCCGAGATTCGAACCCAGATCACGATAGTGCAACGGTTAGCATACGCTCTCGGAAAGAGTGAGATCTGGGTTCGAATCCCGGCTGACGCAAACGTTTTTGCACAGTACTCCACATATTGTGTATTCCTGCTGAAGACCATTTTTGGGCTTGCTTGAGTAATTTGGGGAGAATGTTTGTAGAACACATTATATTAATGTTATTCAATCGTACTATCGCGAGTCTTTATGATGAGTAACGGGTCCTGTCTAGTCACATTTTGGTTGTTATTATTCCTGTACGTCATCTCATAAATTAGCGCGTATGGTGCAGTAATCAGGGCAAGTTTGATCCTGTTAACTGCTCTAAGCTTTACCAAACTTGTTTGCGAAGGTAAAAGCAAGCGCGCATACATCGATAGGCTACTATAAGTCCTTGCTAAGACCATATATATTTTAGGCACGTCCACCATATTCAATGAAGTCGAAGGCATAGGGAATTTGAGAAATTCTTCAGCGTAAAAAGCTTCAATTGTGTTGTATTTTTATTATACTTTATATATAAAAATACCCATATAAAAAGAAACTTTTTCCCACAGCAGAAAAAATTTTCTTACTTATCATTAGGTCGTAATCCAATCAAATTAAGCTAACTGTTGAAGTATAATCTTCCTAAGCACACTCAGCCAATTAAGCTCGTAGAATTGCAAGCGAGTATTCAGGTAATAACTTTTTGGTGAGATTTCCATAAATTACTCAGGTAACGTTTCGACATTTCGCCTTCATGGCTAGATATATTCAAAACGATAGTCCACAGCCAATCTCCTCGTAATGTGGGATCTTTGTAAGAGCACCAAGTCAAATCCGCTAAAGTAAGAGACCGTTTGAATGTTATAAAGTCACTCTGCAGTGATTTGCAACGTGAAGTGGTTCTTCTGTGATTTTCCATTATTGATATTCATTCGCCAACATAACGAATTTCTAAACAAGTGATTTTGGGCATGTGACTGAAACAGCTCCAGCTGAGGAGAAAAACCTCTGAAAGATTGTTTCATTCAAGGTCCTGCACTTCGCTAATATACAAAAAATACACTGACTACTCATACTGCAAACACTTAAAGGCGTTTAAAAAACAAAGTATTCTTCATGATTTTCTTCTTCAAGCCTAAAGCCAATCCTAAGGCTTGAAGAAGAAAATCAATAATTATTTTAAAGCATGCCGAGGTTAATAGACTGTCGGTCTTGAGAATAAGGTATTCGCATTTTATAGACAGTAAGAGCATCTTTATGCCTAAACATTTGTGAATATCTTTGCATGTTTTACTAACATGAATAGAACTGGAGTCATGAAAATAGCAGTGAGAGATATCGTAGAAAAGTGGGTGAAAAAGCAGCAGTCACGTCAAGTGAGTGAGTAACTCATATGTACAGCAAAACACCGTTCATTCAAGTCGATCAATGAAATGAAACACATTCGTTAGTAAGTGATATTATGTGAAACCATCTAAACACATTGATGTCATATCAGTGGTGACGATTCGGCCTAGAATAGGTTTACAATGTCAACTCGATGCTTTTCAGCGGTAGGTCCGAATCGCTCTTGTTGCTTTTGTAATTTCTTCGTTGGCTCATAATAACAGATTGTCACCTATAAGTAAGAAGTCTTTTGGAGTGGGTCTATCGCTTCGCATCTATAGCGGTCACAGTATTGGAGGCTTTAGCTTTATTTGTCAACACCAATGTCCAACAGTTCATAGTTTTAGAGCATGCTAATTGTACGACAGAATGATAGGGAGAGAAAAAATACTATCGCAATGTATGCACGCCGTAGTTGCTGAACGTGATTTCCTGCCAATATCTAATGTCATTACTACTCAGTTTCCTTTCAATACTAATGCTATCGAGTGGGCAGAAAATTAAGGAGCATCGTGCAAATTTTGAAAGACGGTCATTCATGTTGTTTACCTTGTCAAACGAGGACTTCGCTTCGTATGGACCCTCACACTTGCTGTTCAGTACCAGTTTTATGTTTGTCAATGATCGCCGCCGCAGAACTCCGTGACAAGGATAGGCGGTGATCCTCTGAGTGTACTCGATCTTAAATTGATGTTGTTTGTGCGATCCATCTGCATAGCGGAAAACTAATATAAGAACATTACGCGAACTCTCCACATCAGGTTATGTTCTGAGAGATTGGTGATTGTGAGAGTTTGCACATCTTTCACTTGTTTGAACCGAATCTAAGAGTGCTAGTTGGAACTAGATCATAGATTTGTGCTAAGTTGATCATCTCTCGCTAAAAACGCTTTCAGTATTGTTCATCGAGTTAGTATCAATAAGATCACGTTTTTACCGTTGTTCACCAATACTTCTCAGAAGCCTCCGCTCAGTAGAATCATGCAGAGTGCCACCGTACTTCACATCTATTGTATTAATCTAGATGGCGACCACAACTTGCGTGAGACTTGGTGGCGGGCTCAAGAACACTCTGCTAAAATTTTGAATTCAATATTGCATTCTCTAGTGTCGGCTGATTTTTCTAATACAGTGAACAAATGACATTGTGTAAGGGGTAGACATTCAGGTAGGCCACTATCGCTTTGACTAGGATAAAAAACCCTTGGGTGATGTTGAGTAACCGATGATTAGAAAAACTTCTAGACAACGTTCTATGGAAACATTCAGAGCCTTCAAATAAATCATTATACTATAAGTGCCTATGCAAATATGACTCATGGTGGTGAGAGTCGTAATCTTAGAAAATATTAGCTAAACAGTGATAACAATAACAATATTGATAACAATAGTGTCATTGCACATTGCACTGCCACCATATACGCCTCCCTCCTTGCTACAATACAGGGCTTAATGCGAGCTTGGGCCACCGACGAGGTGGGCGAGACATCCGAAACATAATTATAGCTGTGGCATAGTGACCTCGATAAGTGTTCGAACATTATTAAGAATTTTGCCGAATTTATTTACTCGTTGAAAGTGCGTTTACCGCCCTGTAGCAAGAATTAAATTTTGGTGTTCCACGCACGCTTATTTCCTGAAAGAAGGAGATATCTCCTTGAATTATGGGTAATCATTTGATGGCCTGCATAGTTTACCCTGGCGGTGGAGACGACAGTTACATGAAACCTGGTATCATAGACCTAAACTCCTGCTAGGTGTAGGAGGGGAGTGGGGGAATTCCTTGGCGAGACGGGTAAACCCACCTAACAGTAAAAAGAGCATCTACCTGAAAAATAGAGCAAAGGAGATTATACTTAATTTATTATTCTCTAATTGGCTGCATCTAATTTTTCTATGTTCATCAAGATGAAGAGTTTGCCATCAACTCTATTAGAATACGTTGAAACTGAGTTCTGCCATATTTTTTTTTTACTTTTATTCATAAAATAAATTTTTTCTAGGTCTTCTCTATCGTGTCTGATGGCATTAAAAAACTTGTGGTCTTGTGATTTCAGAAGATCTAGGTCATTTGATTTTTTTTAATTGCATAAAACAATTGTGTTTTGCTTGGAGAAGAAAATCAGGAAATATATTGAAGCATGCCGATAGACAGTCGGTCTTGAGACTGTATAAAACTCTTCTTACTTTAGAATAATCATGTGTGCTGTACCACATCATCGAGTTTAGCAAACCCTATTCCTTCTAAGGAATGTTGCAAAAACTTGAAGAGATGGTAATCACTTGGGGCAACATCTGGGCTATACGATGGATTCAATAAAGTTGTCGCAGATGATTACATCGTATTGATGACGCCTTCACAGATCTTCCAAACCAGCCTTGTGCAGTTCGTAAATCAACCGCCTCGTGCTCTAAATAGTTTTTTGCCTCTTTGGGTAGGATAGCACAGGTGGAACGTTCAAGAGACTTTCACAACTTAGGTTTAAGCTGTTCAATATGAATTGAAAAAATTCCATGCAGTGCAAAAGGTAGAATGGTTCACAAACTTAGAACCTTGACATCTCAAAATTTTCAAATGATTTAAAACACGACAAAAATGCTAAGAAGTAGATCTACTGCAAATAAATAAAAAAAAAACAAAGAATGTGCGGTGCTTGAAACCAACTCATAACAAGTGCGGCTCGAGCTTTAGACACGATTCATCTTCGTCTAAGACCTAAGCCGAGCTGACTTCTTTTTACGATGAAACGGCCAAGTACGGCAGGTTATTACTTGGCTGGATTTATATACACTAGCTTTCACGAAATCCATGATTACGATAAAAAAATTCTGCAAGCAGCAGGAAGCCACTTCCACATTATACCTTTCAAAGTCTTCGTATGCAGTGAGGACAGTAACTTATTTGAAAGTAAAGAAATCCATTCATTATAATCACGCGATTGCATTCAGTGACGAAGAGCAATGTAGCACCAAATAATGGGCTGTGGAAAATGATCCTTGATTTCCGCTGTAAATTCAAAGTTCGCATGCAAACTTAATTGCAAGCAACAATGGTTATTTCTTAAAATGAAGACCAATACTATCCACGATCTTCTGCCAAAGATCTGCAAGTTTTCGAATCTTTTTGAAATACTACTCCCTGGGATTTAGATCGAAAAACTTCTTAAATGTCTCATCGACAACCGTTTTCCGATAGCTAAAATGAGCAAAGTCGAATATGTTTCCACTGCAGCCGTTCCCCTGCAACAAAGTGTAGCTGGGCAGAACAAGCAATATGGGACATCAAGTGAAAAAGTCTTTGGCATTGCGGAGATTGACAGGCTTCTGCAGACACCTCACATGCCAGCTGATAAACAAATGCCCCTTGTAGGTGGAACGCGGTC